GGCTACTGCTGTAGCTAAGACAAATCGGGCTCTTAGGGCTAAGACGACTCCTGATGGTGCTCGCCTCTACTCATCAGGGGATTTGGTCGACTACCACCGACCTACTGCCACCAAGGACGACCATGGAGGCTGGAACGGCCCATTCCCGGTGATCCGAAACGTGCCTGAAAGAGGACATATTGTTGTCAAGGCAGGATCTCGTGAGGTAATTGTGATGTATCCGGATGCTCGTCACACACTATACATCGAATGTCTCCTCACACGGGAACTTGGCATGGATAACATGGCCATGCAAACCGTCCTTGCCTATGTGGCACATCTCAGTGCAGGGAAACCTGCCAAAGTTTTCGGGTATATCCCCGACTACAAGGAAAACCTTAACCTGTCAGACGATAGCAAGTTTCACCCGCGCGTACACCTAGCACTACAGTATCTTGTACGAAATTACTTCAGAGTGGAACATGTAGTAGCAGTTCGATTGGCTAAGAGTGTGTCAAGCCTACCTGCAGTAAAGTACGCCACCGGGTCTACGCTGATCCACTATGACAATGACATTAGCCCGGCGTTCCACTACTATGAATGTGTGGGCACCGGCCTAAACATCTCTCAGATTACTGGTAGCACTCACTCCAGACTTATTCAATGCTTGACTTCACGTGTCCCTGCCTTAGGATTTCACGATGACCTGGCTAAATATCAGCATCCAAGCAACACGTCTGGAGAACACGAGTCGCCTGGAAACAGGCCTTCTCCAGACACACCAGATGCTTCATCGCCTAGCGAAGGCCGTCTGTCGACAATCTATGAGGAAAATGAGGAACACAATATCGAAGCCATGATGCTGGAAGAGTGGTACGACGAACTACGTATGGACCTTCATCCTACGACGATCACAGATGATTACCTCTATTGCGTCCCAACAACTACGCTGCCTGACCAATGCGTTTTGGTTTCAGCATTTGCGGGCGAAGATGATATTACATCATCAGATATGCTCGGAGACGAGCCTAACTCATGTGAGTTTTGTCTAGCATCTCTTTGTTCGAACACAAACGACGAGAGCTATTCCCTAGACAGTGATGAATATGGTCCTTACGTTGAACTATGCTTTACATCAGAAATGTCAAAAATAGTGTTGGATCAGACCCAACTTGCACAGCTCGATACCGATATGGTCGCAACGATGAGAGTATATGTATCCAATGCTGCTAAACGTGCTGTGGTTGTCAAAGAAGACGACCTACTGACCAAAGCCGACATAGCAGCACATCCAAAGGAGGTTAGTGAAGCCTTATATACTGAGCTCAAGATCTGGATTGATAACCGATGCTTTGAGATGTACGACTTATCCAAAGCTTCCAACATCATGACATCCAGATATGTATACAAGTGGAAGTTCGTAAAGATGGGCACCGAGAACGTTAAAACCATTCGTCTCAGATTAGTCCTTCGTGGATTTATGGATACTGAGGCCTTTGATGTGGAAACATTCTCGGGAACCGCCCGAAGGCAGTCTCAACGACTCTTGGCAAGTGAAGCGGCATGTCATCCAGAGTGGATCTTAGCATCCATGGATATCGATAAGGCGCTCCTAAAAGGCTTGACCTACGAGGAACTTGCCCATGCCACCGGCGAGGAAACTCGCATGGTCTGCTTTACTCTTCCACCAGGAAGCGCTCAGGTACTTCGTGCCCTACCCGGCTTCTCATCCTACGACGGAAGTCGACACTGTCTTAGATGCCTCAAACCAGGAACGGGTACTAAGGACGCCCCAAGAGCGTTCTCTCTCAAACTTCGTACGACCACACGAGCTATAGGACTTACACCGACTAGTTACGATCCTGAATTTGAATTCAGCCAAGATCTTCTGACTGCAAAACATGTCGATGACATTAATATGACAGGTCTAGAGAAAAATATCGACGACTATGTACAACGTGTCGAAAAGGTTTTTGGCAAATGCAAGCTCAACAAGCACACATATACGAACTGTGCCGTCCGCTACGCTAAGAATGATCAGGGAGATGTGATCATGGACCAGGACGAGTATATCAAACAACTACGTCCCATCACACATCCAGAACTTACAGGAGCGGCGGCCGACGCCAAAACCTATTACCGACATGTTCGTCAGCCTGCGAGGAGCCCTCGCCTATGCCCTTCTTACTCAAATCTGGCTTATGGTATATGTGGTCTCTCTTCAGAAAATTCAAGAGCCCACCAATTTACAAGTCAGACGTTTGAATGCTGTGACGCGAAAGCTGATCAGCAGTCCGAAACGCATCACCTTCCCTCGGATGAAGCCGACGAATGAAGTCGACATCCATAGCGATTCGGGATATCGGAAGCTTACCGGGGAGGAGGATGACGAGACCAAGGGCTACGGCATACGCGGGGCCAACGTACTACGGCGAGGAAACTCGCCTCAAGGCAAGTCCGTCGTTCACCTCTGTGACGGACTATGCAAATCACACCGATTACAGGTGAGGTCCAGTTATGCTGCGGAGGCACTTGCAGCCGCACATAACCTTGATGAGTGTTACCCTGCGCTCATTACTCTCCATGAGCTTAAGGCAGGGGCCTTGACTCCACGACAACTACGAGATATGCGTGAAGTTGGAGGCCTTGCTATCAAAGTCTCTCTGACCATAGACGCTGAGTCCGTCTACAAATCTTTATCAAGCAGGGATCTCAAAATACCCACAGAACGGACTCTGCTTGGACATATCAGTTGGATACGTGAGCTTATGGATATAGGTATAGTACATAACGTGCAATGGTGTGATACTAGGGATATGACCGCAGATGGGCATACAAAGGGAAGCATCGATCGGGAGCTGCTTCTGGAAGTGATGTCAGGCACTCAGTCATTTAAGTATGACGTGAAGCAATTTGTTCCCTTTCGGGGTCCCGAGGACAGAGACAAACCCAAGTCTAATCAATTTTAGTCTGTCCTTGTTGCCCTCGCGGTCCAGTTTGCCAGCACGGGCGCCTACTATAAAGGCGCCCCTTTAGCTGCTCGGAAACGAGCCTTATATTTCACGCCTGGCAACGAGCCGGCTTCGTACAACTCAGGCTCTTTGCCTTAATACACATTTGCTTGGTGAGGTATGGCCTAATTTTGGCTTACCTCTAACTAAGCCGATAGCCCTTCATTGTTTGAAGGGGCTGTCCTGTATTTGCGTGAAATACTTTGCGAGGAAACTCGCCTTACAGTCTGGTGTTTGACCAGACTGTACGCACTGTTTTCTTTTCTTTGCAAACAGTCGTGCGCGCGATCTTTGCGTGCGACTATGCTCTCCGTCTCCTCCCCTCCCGACTTTAAGGGTAGCTCTTTGGGAGATGTTACAGTATCGGGAGCATAGCTCGCGCGCCGCTGCCTTGGGCTCAAGGCACGCGCGCCCTATTTGCCCGGACACCGCGAGTGTTCGCTATGTGCTGGAAAGATCATTACATCGATCTTATCCTATCTTATCCGCCCACCCCTCATACTGTACCTTCACAGCTACAGCAGAGCGATGGACGCTATTTGCCATCCGATGTCCACGGTCAGCGCCTTGGAATCGGATGCTATATGACAGGCTATATGCCCTATTTGAGTTACCAGGCTCACTTTCGACTAGTTCGTACTCCTCCCTCTTGAGCGTTCTTGGGGTGGGGCCCTCTTGCAGCCCTCCAGGGGCTGTCTTGGGCCGTCTTGGGGGGCGCCTGGGGGTGTCTTGGGGCCCATTTGGGCCGTCTTGGGGCCCTCTTGGAGACATCATTGGCTGTCTTGGGGCGATCTTGGGCACCACTTGGGCCGTCGTGTTCGCTACCAAAGCGTAACATGCGAATGTGATGTAAATCTACGTTGTTCCAATGGAGTGGCATTACTTTGGCCTCTTGAGGCCCTCTCGGCGATCCTCTGGAGGAGCTTTTGGGCTGTCCTGGGGGCCTCGTGGGCCATCTTGAAGCCATCTTGGACCGTCGTGGGACAACCCCGGGCCGTCATGACGCTCTCTCTCTTCTCGACTGTCTTGGCACTCTGTCTGGGCCTTGTTGGGTTATCTGGGAGCTTTTCGAAAGCTTAGGAGGCCCCAGGGAGGCGTTGGTGAGCTCGTGCCCCCCCCCACTCCAGAACGGCATTTTGGACCCCAGGGGAGGGGGAAAGGGGGAGGAGGGGGGAAGGGGAGGGCGAGGAGGAGGGGGAGGAGGAGGATATGGAGGAGGGGGTGGAGGAGGAGGAGGGGGGGGAGGGGGAGGGGAAGGAGGAGGAGGAGGAGGAGGAGGAGGAGGAGGAGGAGGAGGAGGAGGAGGAGACAGCCAAATGTCTCACACGCCTTTTCAACCTTGGTAAGCGGGGGTCGTCGGATTCAGATCCTCCGAGGCTGTTTCGTCTCTCATTCTGCTTGCTCCCAGTGCAACGCAGGCAGATGACAATGGTGTCGTGGCGGTACAGAGTTTCGTTGACGAAGACGAGTGTTTCTGTCCTCCTCTCTTGTCCTTCTCCTTTCGGGCGATCGCAAACATGGTTTAAGGTGGCGTGGACTAGCGACGGGTCCCGTTTCCATGCAAAATCGCGGATTTCCGCTTTCGAACGAGGCGACACCGGCCGCATTGTGGGGAGGCGTGCCAAATCCATGGATCGCTAATTCATGTTTGCGCACCCCCCCGATCCTCTGCTCGTGCACATTCCGCGTCACGGTCGTGATACGTTCTGCTCTCCTGCTTCACAGTCGTGGGGCGCTGCGCCTTTCTGCGTCGCAGTCGCGATGCGGTGTGTCCTCTCACTTGAGAAGTGGCGCGACTTGCGCATTCGTCTTCCAGCGAGCCCTGCCGGGGGCAAGGCCCATCAGTAGCAGCACACAGCAACGCGTTGTTTTGCCCACGCGCCAGTGGGTGCATGATTTCGTGACAAGTGGCTTCGTACTATTCACGGTTTGTTTGTACCACCGCCACATGTTTTTTACCAGTCATATTATGAGGCAGTATGTGTGTATGTTCATTCCTTCGTTCTTGAGGCTGGGATTCGTGCTGTCGCTGATATTGTTGTGAACCATCGATGTGGTGACAAGCAAGACAGCGAGGCGTGACGGGTTCTCTTTGTTTTTCGTCCGTTACTTGGGCCACCATGTTGCAGAACCCGTTGAAATACCGCAGCACGTTAAAGGCACTCCGTATTTCCAACATGTTGGAACTGACCCAGATGCCTGAAGAGCTCGTGATACATCAGGGTACTTGCTCACTGAGCTGTCTCATTTGTTCGTTCTGCGTTTTCGATGACCCTTGGCAGACGGGGCATGCAGTCCTCGAGGTCTGGACAGAGGGGAACTGAATCGCGAGACCGAGGATAATAGCACGAATGTCGAACGCGCGAACATAAACGCAGACAGTGGGGAGGTCGTAGAGAGTAGGGAGGCTGTCAACAGAAGGGGGTGTTCAGCCCGGGACAGCGAGCGGGGCGGCGAATGGGAGAGATAAAGATGAGACACATGATTGCAATAGGCGGAGACGGACGAGCACAGAAGGAGGAGGGAGATCGAAGAATCGACGATTTCTTATCACGTAGTTGAGAAAGAAGATGGAGGAGGGAAGGATACACAAAAGGACCGAGAATAAATTGTAGGAACTACGAGAGAGGGATTGGGAGACCAAGCGACAAAAGTCGGGGGAGGAGGAGGAGCCCTGTACGCCAAGGTTAAGGTCTTTATTATTGGACCCCTGTCCCTGCTCCCGTTGCAGCGGGTTCCCGAGATTATGGCCGCATCTTTAGGGCCAGCAAGTCACATTGCGCCGCTAGCGTAGGTTAGGACATCGTTCTCTGATTACTTCATCACTTCGCGGTGCTGGCTCGAATGTGGGTCTTTGCAAGGACTTGGGCGTCACAGGGTGCGAGATGTTCCGGGATCTTCGAGGCCGAAGACGCCTTACATGCTGGCGGTTTCTTCTGGCAAGCTGGTGCTGGGCATTCTGGCACCAGCTTTGTTCAGGCGATCGCAAACATGGATCATGGGGGCGTGGATTAGCGACGGGTCCCGTTTCCATGGGAAATCGCTGATTTCCGCCGCCGGATGAAGCGCTGACCGCATTTTGGGGAGGGCACCTCCCCCGATCCATGGATTTGGCGACGGCGCGCAAAATCCATAGATCGCGAATCCATGTCTGCGCGCCCCCGATTTTCACCACCTACCAGACCACCCCAACCCAACCCGAAGACCTCAATTTGCCCTCCATTTCCAGTGGGGGGGGTCGGGGAACGTTGAAAAAACACATGGAATCCGTACCCCCCCCAACCCGAAATTCGGGTCAAATTCGGGCCTTCGGGTTGGGTTGGGGTGGTCTGGTAGGTAGTCAATTTGTCAGTTGTGACAGCTCAAGCAGCCGTCGCGTCGGTTGGGCAGCCGGCTCTCGTGCCGACGGAGGTCGCTCGCTCGAAGCGGCCCACGGCCGGAGGGGATGGGGCTGGGCCAGACTTCACAGTCGCATATACACCTTAGGCGATGCTGAAGAAAACTTCAGTTTTCGGCCAGAGTCTCGATTATTCTTACTGTTTCAATGTAAATCCTAAGCTTTTAATAGAAATGTTTTGTTTTTTATTCAAGTTCTGAGACTATGAATTTCTTAACCCATGATTTCTTAAGCATTTCGCAGGGTGTACTCGGGTCATCGGGCTAACTCGTAGGACATATGAAGAGGGAGCTTGGAGGAAAGGCTTGTTCCAACATCGTTGATGCTTCTTGGGTTCACACTTGTCCCCCTCCTCCTCCTCCCCCTCCTCCTCTTCCTCCTCCTGCTCCTCCTCCCTCCTCCTCCTCCCTCCTCCTCCTCCTCTCCTCCTCCTCCTCCTCCTCCTCCTCTTCCTCCTCCTCCTCCTCCTCCTCCTCCTCCTCCGCCTCCTCCTCCTCCTCCTCCTCCTCCTCCCCTCGCCCGAATCATCAGGGGTAACTCGGGTCAGGACTAACTCGGGTTCGTTTTTCGGGAGTCCGAATACGAGTTGCCCCAGGCCCGAGTCACCCTGGATGATTCGGGCGTCCAGAGCCCCGAATCATCAGGGGTAACTCGGGTCATCCGTAGCCATTTTGGCTCAAGCCATTTTGATTCAAGACAGGCTTGCTCGAGGCAGGCTTAAGTTTACATCTCCCGCTTTACCTCTTCGCGCTGTTCCCCTCACGCAACCATGGCCTTCATGGCGAGAGCTCTTTCGCTCGCTGGCCTGTTGACTACCGTGGGCGCGCAGCAGAAATCGGACTACAAGGAGGTCACGCCAGCAGCAGCAGGAACTGGATATAATCCGGAGTGCAAGGACCTCGAGACAGTCGGCGAGTGGCAAAATGTACAGTCGGCGGCCCAGTGCAAGACGTATGCCACGATGGTGGGGGGCACGTTTTCAGATCTGCAACCTGGTCAGGCACCGTTCGGTTGCTCCGTGGGTGATTGGGAGACAGCTAACGAATACTACTACGTGCCAGACGCGACGCCTAAACGTGGCCCGACAAGCCAGGAGTACCACAACGTCTGCATCTCGATCTCATACACCCCCCCACCCCCACCCCCTTGCCAGGGCATGACCTGCCTCGAGAGGTTCGTGCATTATTGCGAGGAGAGCAAGGCGGACTCCGGCTCCAACAACAACGCGGCGGCGCCCGCGAAGTCTCCGAAGGACATGTTCGTTGCCCAGTGCCCCGACTGCGATGGCGTCGCCGACACGGACAGTTGCCCAACGAAGCTTCGCTTGTACGATGCCGCTCAGGAGGCGGAGCCGACCTCGAGGCTCGACAAGACGTCAGTTGCGGTGTCAGTGCCGCTTGGATTGGTGTCCGCTCTCGTCGCTATGGGTGCGCTCGTCCGCGTCTCCCGCAGCCGCGCGTCCAACCAGCCAGTGCCCGTGGAGGACGAGCAAGACTTGCTGCGCAAGTGAACGAGTACGCCTGCGGCAGCAGCTTGGGACCAGAGGACACAAAGCTTGCCGAGTCCCGCATGCTCTTCTGAGATGCCTCCCCGCCTGACGTGCACAATCGCTTTGCGCCAGCTCAGCGATCAAAGTCGCGTGCCTCTCTCTCTCTCTCTCTCTCTCCCTCTCGCTCTTTCACACGAACAACACTACGTACATCCTGCTTACCTCCCTCCTCCCGACGTCCCCGCAGCCCTGCGTGTGTTCTGGCGCCGCCCGTCTGCAGGCTCACTGCAGGCCCTGGGCCCCGCCTCACTTTGACTTGAGTTTGAAGTTTCGCCACGCGCGAGTCGCGAGGAAGCTTCGCTCCATTTTTCCCGTCTTCCAAACAAGTGATGGCCATGACGGCCCCCGGAGAACATCAGGATGGCCCCGGTACCCCCCTCCTCACCCCGCCTCGCCTGGCCCTCTTTTATCTCCTCTTTCCTCTCCTCACTCGTTCTCCTATTCCTCCGCCTGCTGCTCCTCTCTCATATACTCATTGCCTTTTTTCGAATGGTTCTCTGCAGCGTAGATTATTCAGCGTGTCAACAGGTCGGTTTGCCACTCCCGCCTGGATTACGTTGACATATTGGGTTGCTGACTATTCAGTCGCGGAAATTTTCAAAGGGGCCGTTCGGTATGCTACTCACGCCCAGGCGTGTTAGTTTGCTGGATTGTCTTGCTGGTTGGATCCGCTTGCGGACATCCCAGCATGTTATATTCAGGTGCCCTTATGCGGCCTCCTCTCTCACATACTCCATGGCTTTTCGAATGATTCTCGGCAGCGGAGGGTCTTCAGCGTGTCAGCAGTTTTGGGCGTGTTAGGCTGACAAGCTGGGGGGCGCCCTTGGCCGCGCCCTGCCTGCATAAAAAAGGGGTAACTCGGGTCAGGGCTAACTCGGGCTCGTTTTCCGGGAATCCGAGCCCGAATTACCCCGGGCCCGAGTTACCTTGGATGATTCGGGCGCCCAATTTACGTTCAGTTGTCGACGATCTTCCCAGAACTCCCTAGCCACTTGCGCGTGGACTACCCAGAGGGGCTGCAACACAGCACGTTGCATAATAATCAGGTTCGAATGCACTTCAGCTCTTGCCCAACAGTGCTGGCGGTCTGGACATGGGCAATTTGCCAATCACGCGTGCAGAGGCGAGGTGTGGCAGGGGAGCTTCTGGCGATATTGAATAATGAAGGTGTTGCCTGATGGTCGCTAGTTTCTGCGCCGAACGACGCATTAATCCTGGATGGCCGGGCGGTGGCGCCATGGTCTTCACCAGTGACCTTCCCCGCGCAATCCCAGTGCAGCGGAGGAGGAGGAGAAGGAGGAGGAGAGGAGGAGGAGGAGGAGGAGGAGGAGGAGGAGACGTTGGAGGAGGAGCAGGAGGAGGAGGGGGGGAACACGAGAGTGAAGAGCATGTGTTGTTTTGTTCTACCCTCTGGCGCGTAACGGTCGTTGCCCAGGCCACCCCCCCTCTCAGGTAACAGTAGCGATCGTGCGTAGGGCGGGGGACCTGGACCCCCCACCACCTGCTGGCGCTCGCGCGCATGCTAGGGCGATCGCAGCGCATCCCCACCCTGACGTGCCCCACCCGTCAGGTCATGCCCACAGCAGGAGGCAAAATCACAACCTCGACAAAATCTAGTTGCCTTCGGCCCATCCCGCCACCGTACCTGGGCTGTGCTCGAGGGCCTCTTGGGAGCAGTGTTGGGGCCTCTTGGGGGCCTCTCGCCTTTTGGGCCGTCTTGGGCAGTCTTGGGCGCCTTTTGGGCCGTCTTGGGGCCCTCGTGGTCCGTCTTGGGGGCCTCTGGGGCCGTCTTGGGGCGATCTTGGGGGCCTCGTGGGCCGTCTTGGAGCGTCGGAAAGTCGAGTCGAAAAGACGAGAGGGTCAAACACTGTGAAAAACCTGAGGAAATCAATGAATTTTGCCTCTTGCGGCCCTCTTGGGACGCGTCTTGGAATACTCTTGGGACGTCTTCGGGGCCTCGTAGGCCGTGTTGAGACCATCTTAGGTGGATTGGGATTCTCTTGGGCTTTCTTGGAGGCATCTTCGGCTTTCTTGTGTGCTTTTTGGGCCCACGTTTGGCCGGTTGCGCTACCGGAGGACGCGCGCGACACGCCTGGGGAATCCCCGGGAATCTCCAGAAATCCGCGGGAATCCCCCGAAATCTTTGTGAAACCGGTGGCCCAGGCCCTTTTAAAACCTACAAGTCTGAATTTCTCAGGGCTGCATGAGCCTTGGGGCACACCACTACGTGCTGCAGGCATGGTGGCGGATATCTTTTTATGTGGTTCCCATATTTATGTAGTTGGTGTCCGAGGTGGGCGTCGTCGCACGTGCGTTCTTGCCCATGACGCGCGCGATTCACAGTATCGTCATGTCCCGCGCAATCTCTGCCATTGCCGTAACGCACATACCGGTTGAATTTTCGATGGTGCAACGCTCATCTTTCGTGCGCGTGTCGCGTGCATGTGGCACACCGCGCGCGAAAGCTGCGGCGCTCCTCACTGCGCCATGTCATGGGGAGTTGCACTGAAGACCCTTGGGCTGCGTCTCCCATGTGCGCGCGGGCACCGAAGACGCAGATTCCGCGGCCGTGGCGCGCGGGCGCCCACCCGAAACACCTCCGTGACATAAGTGACTGTTTTTTGATTCTTATTGTTTTGCCGATCGGCGCAGGCCCTCGCACCCCCTGGTCCCCCCCACCCCCGCGGAGTGGATCTTGGCTGTTTCTGGCGCCTCTTTCGAGCAGGTGGGGTCCCTCCCCCATAGGACGCACGGTTCCAAACAGCCGCGCTAAGCAGAGGTCCGGAGCCAGATCCCCCCCCCGCCCCCCACTTCCGCCCAATGTCGAAATGCCGAATAAAAAAACGCTCACTAATCCACGACCTCAGGCGGCAAGTTGACTTCCGCGGCGTAGCCTTAGAAATCCCAGGGTTCGCTAGGGACTGGTTTCCCCCCAAGACAACGAAAACCCTTCAAAATCCTCCCGATACCGGCCCGATACCCTCCAAAAACCTTCCCGGAACCCTTCTTGGAAGGGTTTCGGGAGGGTTTCGGTTATTTTCAAAGGAAACCAGTCCCTAGCGAACCCTGGACTTTATAAACGTAGCCGTATATCCGTTCCAGGGTCGCGGGGCGTGGTGCGCGTGGCATTGTATTGACGCCGTTTGGAAGGGCTCATGGGGGTGGTTCCTGAGCACGGTCTCAATGCGCCTCCGGGTCGCGGGGCGCCGGGATCGTCGAATTTTTTTGCGGCATCAAAAGCGGTGCGACAGGGGATAGTCTTTGAGCGCGGAGGGTGTGGCGTCGGAGGAACGCGCGGGAGACTTCTCAAGGTAACGACTGCCTCAACATTAATCTGTTTTGACCCCAACCTGTTGCGGGAGCGCCGCGTAGTATCGGGGGCGGCAAAGAGGGGGGTGATGACTAGGGGGGGGGGGAGATCATGGCGTGGGCCATGATATTTCCCCAGATTTCATGGCGCCTCGTCTTATTTTATTACGTCCCTGGCCCCCCCCCCCTGGGCCGCGCACATGCCGCCGGCCATGATTTGCACCCCCCCCTCTGGGACGCCCCCCTCTTGGCCTCTCCCGATAGTACAGGTTCCCACCTGAGGGTAACTCAGCGCTGCCAGTAAAATGAACGTGAGCCCCTGACCCCCTCTCAGGAGGCCGAGGCAAGTGTTCGCCGACGGTCGACTTTCGGAGGGTTCTTCCTATCCCAATCCTGGAGTGCGCACTGACCAGGATTTGTAAGCGGGTCCAGCCGCGGACACGAGGGCTTACCAGATGGCCCTGAGATGCAGAAAACATCAAACAACCTCCTCGTCCTTGTCCTCGTCGTGCTCCTCCTCCTCCTCCCCCTCCTCCTCCTCGTCCTCCTCCTTTTTCTCATCCTTTCCACCCTTTTCCTGCGCCATCAAGGAACGCTTCCCAGTTGTTTCTGGGGCGTGCTCCTTCCAGAATTTCGACAGCCGTGGCCACGGGCGTCCCTCCCAGGGAGCCCACGGAAGATGCCAACCACATCCCAGGGAAAGGGTGGCCGAGTTTGCCCAGTTGCGCGCCGAAATGCGAAAATGCGGACCTCGAGCCTCGAGGATCGATGTTCGATGCTGTTTCTTCCTTCGGGGGCCCTCCTCGTCGCCGCGGCTGGGCGCAGGTCGAAAACACTTAATTATGCGTCTGGGCCCCGGGAGGGGCCCGGGGGCGCGTTTAGAGGGAGGGCCACATCGACTTGACCAGCATTTGCGTTGCAGCCTGCCCTCTTCTTCCCCCTTCCTCTTCCTCCCTTTCGGTCCCTTCCCCGCCCGCCCTGCCTCTCTTCCGCCTCCTCTGCGCAGTCTTCCCCTGGTTTGCTCATCATCCTCCTTCTTCTCGTTACCCCCCCCTCCCCACACCCCACCCATCATCCTCATCTTCCTCCTGCCCGATTCATACTTGCGATTTTTCTCCTCAGCCCGCTGTTTGTTCCCGCCGCGTTGGTCACGGTAGTGATTTTGCGTGTTGGTCACGTTGGCGTGGCTGGTTGCGTTGGTGCCCTTGCGCGTGGCGCTGCTGGTCCCAGTCGTGCTTGTCACGGTGGCGCTGCTGGTTGCGTTGGCGCTGCTGCGCGCTGCGTTGCTGAATCCCGTCGTGCTGGTGACGTTGGTGTGCCTGGTTGCGTTGGTATTGCTGTGCGTGGCGCTGCTGGTCCCCGTCGTGGTGGTCGCCTCCTTACCTCCCCCTTCCTTCGCTCATCCTTTCATTCCCTCGCCCCCCCATTCCTTTCGCCTTTCTCTTCTCGCCCCGCCGTTTCCCACCGTGGACGTTGTCCGCCGCGGCCCTGCGACAAAAAATGTGAAAGCATCGCCGGCGAAACCCGACGTCAGAACGACAACATCAGCGCGACAAAACATGTCACCGACAACGTGGGCCGCAAAACAAACATAACGGCCTGACAAACAGCAACCAATGGCAGCATACAATCTCCACGTCTCGCGGATAATACGTCCCGACATATTTTTTCTGCACGTCGGACGCATTGTAACTTGACAGGGATGGCGCCCCCAGCAAGCCCAGACGGCACGCTTGCCGCGGACACTTTGAGCGGATACTTTGCCGGTCATTTTGTCGGGGTGTTTTCTGTTGGCTTCGAATCCGTCATTTCGACGCCCGCTACCTCGGTGCCTGTATCGCACGCGTGCTCAGGGGGCTGCGTGGACACGATTACAATGAAACCCGCCGCGGTATCATCAGAGGAGGCATAATTATGGCATGTCCTCCACCCTGCGCGGGGGGTGGGGCGTGGGCGAGAGTTTTAGCCCTTGCCCTCCAGCCCCTCTTTTTTGGGAAGGATGCCGCGGGGGCCACAGCGGGAGGGGGCCCTGGCACCTTCCCGCCGCGCCCCTCCGTCTTCTGTCGTATCGCTCTGGCCCCGTACGGCACAATAGTTTAGGAACACCCGGGCGGCCCCCCGCCCGCGCCCACGCCCACGCCCGTGCGCCGGCGGAAAGAGCGGAAGCGCGCATGCGTCCCAGAGTCCAGGATCGGGCGAGAAGGCCTCGATGCGTTTCTGGCCCGAATTGATGAGATCGCCCGCGCAGTCGTGTTCAGCCCCCGCTCGGGGCCCAAAGAAAGACTGCCTTTGCGGGCCCGCTCGCGCGCCATCTTTCCTTGCGATTCTGCGCATTTTTTGCAGGCTTCTCGCCCCCCCCCTCTCCGACGTTCTCTCCTCGAGTCCGCGGCGTCAGCGGGCGCGCGCCGCTGCGCAGTCGGGCGCGCGCGCCTGCGCCTGCGCGGGTACGCGCGCTTGACTTTGCAGCTTGCGCGCCCATGTGCGGCCGCGCTCGCGCGGCGACCGCGACGCATCCATTTGCGCCGCCGCGCGATCCGGGGGGTGCGGGGGGCCCGCGGGTGCCCCTTCGGGTCGTCTTGAGCCGGGTCCCGGAGCCATCTTGGCCCCTCGTCTAGCGCCGCGCCGCCGGGGTCCGCGTTCGAAGGATTGCAAAACAAAAAAAAACAAAACGAAGGATTGCAAAAAAAACCAACGATTGCCCAAAAAAAAACCCTTGAACGAAGGATTGCAAAACAAAACCCTTGAACGAAGGTTTTTTTTTTTGCAATCCTTCGGGTCTCCCCGGGCCGCTTCGGGGCTTTCGCGTGGCGCTTCACAGTCACGCAGGAAGGTTCTTTGGCTTCGTGGGAAGCCGACGTCGGGCATGCCTGGGCCCGCCGGGGGGGGGGCGTTATTTTGCATGTCTCGGGGCAGTTTCGGCCGTCGTTGCGCCTTCCGGAGGTTCCCTTGGGCCGTCGATCGTTTTCTTGAAAACCGATTGGGCCGCGCTGGGGCTTCGGAGCTTGGAAAAATAGGTTTGGCCGCGTCCAGTTTTTGCGCTGCAAGCTTGCGTCGCGCCAGCGGTTTCGGTTTCCGCGTTGCCCGTCCTCGCCCGTTCGCGCGCGCTGACCGTGGCTCGTTCGCGTCACAGATAAGCTTGCTCGTAGCGATCTGATTCGTAGTATCGCTGCGAGCCCTCTTATAAGCCGTAATTTGTTGCGTGCTGAATTGTTGCCCGCGTTGTTTTCCGTGGAGTTTACTCGGCGCTGGTTCGCGATTGGGTCTAGCCCAGTGGCTGAGACGGCGCACGTCTGAAGAAGCGCCCACAACGGTCGCCAACTCGGCCCGGACAATTCAGACGTCAACTCGGTCCCAAGATTACGTTCGCAAAGGGGAAAGTTGTCGTCAAGTTGGTTCCAACACATCGTTCGTCAAGACGGGAGGAGCCTTCAAGTCGGCCCCGACAATTTGTTCGTCAAGACGGAAATCGTTTTTAACCATCATCTCGGCCCTGACGTTTTGCTCGTCAAGACGGATGGTGAGGTCAGCGGGACCGTCAAGAAGGGTCTTAATTTGGGAGTGAAGCTGTCGCGGGGTTCATCACCCCAGAGGGAGGCCCTCAATGGGGGCTCGTCAAGGGGATTTGTCAACTCGGGGGGAGGCCGTCAAGGGTGGTCGTCCACTTCGACAGGCACCGTCAAGGGGGTTCGACAATTCGGAAGGAGGCCGTCAAAGAGGGGCCGTCAATTCGGAGAGTTGACGGCTAAATCTTTTCACTAAGAGAGAGTTGACGGCAAAATCTGTTCATTAAGATGGAGTTGGCGACAGAAGCGCCAGATCGAGTATACAATGGCCATCCGCGGTGATGTCCAGGCCCCGTTCCAGACCAGCCGCCCGCGACAGTTTCAACTTAGCGTTTCCCCCTTTATCGTTATGTTATGTGGTCGTGCTTCCGTTCTTCATATCGCTTCCAGTTGCGATTTTCTTGTGCTTGCTATGAGTATTCTGACGAGGATGTGCAGTCACCTGCTCATTGTCGCGTGTGTTCGTACCAACATAATGGAAGTGTTGTTGTCGTGAGGCATACAGCATCCTGTGGACACGCATGTCCTCATATTCGCACGATTGCTTTTGCATCGTCGGTGTGCCGTACACTATCGCTTTACATCTACATTGTGTTGCAACACGTCTTTCAAAACCAGGGCCAGCTACGCGCGACGCCTGGCACCCAGCCCCGTCACCGCTACCCGGGGCCCCATGTAACGACGGTGACCAGAAATACACAACAATCTCGCAGGAGGAGAGAAGGGGCGGAGCGAGGAGGAGGCAATCGCGCGGTGCCTCCGGAGGGGAAGGTGGAGGAGTGGGACTGGCGGACCTTCGGTAGCAAATCGTGTGACATTTTGTACCCTCGTAATTCTGTGTTTAGAGAGCACATGCGCCGATAGCGCCGATGTCGCGTCGACTAGCGTCGATTCGCAAGGGATAACAAGATGATATGGGAGGTTCCCGTGCGTTTCCGCAGAAGAAGGACCCTCCCCGAGCGGTGTGCCGCACCCCGCAACCGCACGAGGGGCGAGGGCAGAGGGGCAGGGGCGCTGGAACCAGTTCTCGTCGGGCATGACCAAGAGGCAGAGCTTCGTCGGCGTCATGGTGGGAAGGGGGGGTGGCCCGCCTCGTTCTGCGCAGGCTGCTGGAGGGGAAAGGAGGGGGGAAGGGGGGCGGAGACGGCCTGCTGTGTGTGTGTGTGTGTTTGTGTGTATGTGGGTGGGCGTGTTAGCTTGCGCGAGGCGGGGCACACCGAAGGAGGCCCGTGGGGCAATTTCGCAGACGCCCTGGCCTTTCCCCATTGGCAACTAGGTCTCCTAGTTCTTGGGCGGAGCCTAAGCGCGCGAAGCGCGTGCGTGGTTCTAGCCGATGTGTGGATCATTGCGTATACGTATTTAATATAAGCGTGGCATACAAATATCTATATGTGTGTGTGTGTGCCGTGTCAATCATTATGTCGCATCGCGTTGCTGCAGCCGTCTTCTAGGGGCGAGCAGGTCACATGCGAACCAGCCCCGAAGCCTTGAGCGCAGGGATCCTCAAAACACGTCGTGTCGCTAGCGATGACCTGGGTCAGCCCGTCCCAGACCAAGTACTGTTTTTTAGTTGGGCCATCGCCCTTGGACATGTTTTCGCGGCGATTGGAGGCACCTGTCGGTCCATCGATTTTCGCGGTTAGATTCTGGCCCCAGTTTCCTGGGCGCCCTCTTGATCAGTCTTTCGAGCTGCGTCCAGCTGTGGCCGTTGCCACACTCGGCGACCTTGGCGAGATGTTTGTTGCCAACGAAGCCCTCGGACCCGAACCCCTTCCCGGGGATAGTTTTCGAATACTCGGCAGTTCTGTCACTCCAGGCCTCCCAAATGGGGCCAGAGTAGATGGGGTCGGGCGATCGCACCGCATCGCCGATGCATCGCCGATGCGGCTCGATATGGAGCCTGATCTTCTCCCCTCCGATGGCGCCGATGCGTCGCTGATGCGTCGCCGACATCGCCGATGTATCACCAATGTATCGGCGATGCATCGGCGATGCGGCACAATCCTTCAATCCCATACCCCACCTAGTCGGACCCCATGTGGGTGCGTCAATCCACGGCACGAAAATTGTTCTGGGAGGCCGCAAATGGACGAAATATGTTGGCATTGCAACAATCGCAATGTCGAAGGTCTGGTTTCTCCTTGTCGTCGCGGGGGGGACCCATGGCGGGACCCCCAGTGCGGCAAGAGCGGGAACAGCAATCAGGAGGAACATGAGCAGGAGGAGGAGCGGGGAGGGAGGGAGGGAGGGCCCCGAGGGAGGGGGCCAGGGAGCCAGGAAGCGAGGTCTGGAGGACGAGGAGGAGTGAGGAGGGAGGGTGGACGGAGACGGTGCCCGCAAGAGTGTCCACGCGAGGAGACTCAGCGGGGCAGGGCGGGAGCGCCCAAAAAAGGGAAATGAATGCGTGTTGCTGGCAAGGGTCGCTACCGTCAGGCTCACTCATCATTCCCAAAACGATGTTCAATGGTGTTGCGGCCACGTCGATCCACTCATCTGTCGCGGCGGCAATTCCCAGGACCATCCCCGCATATTTGCGTATATCGTCTACCCTTCTCGTTTTTGGCACCGCTCGTCTGCGAACAGCTTGCCGGGACTCTGTGTGCAGAGCGGGCTCCCACATCAAGACTTTGTAGCTCATCTGTGACAGTGGAGAAGGCAACAAACCGGGGGCCAGGAGGATACGGTGGGGGCCTCGGGACTGGGCAGGACTGGGGCGGCTGGGCCATCACGCTTGGCGACCAGCCGGGGCCCCAGAGTGCCGCGCGAGTGTCGCGCGCGCGCGACGGTGGGGGGTCGTCCCCCTTCTGCGGAGGAGGAGGGGGGCAGGAGATGGAGATGGCGTCCTCCTCCTCCTCCTCCTCCTCCTGCGGAGGGCGTGGCCGCGGATGCTTTTCGAGAAGGTTCCAGGATTCATTGGCTGACGCCGCACCGCCGACCCCTTGGGGCGACAGTAAGAGTGTAAAGCGGAGTTTGCGGAACGCGCGCGATTTCTATGAAATCTTGGGTTTTGAGTTTCTTGGGATTTCGTCGGGGGCGGTTGGCGGATCGCGGCTCTGCTCTTTGGGCTTCTCTGTGTTCTCCTGGCAACACTTTGAGGCCTCTTGGGAGCCGTGTTGAGGCCTCTCGGGGCCTCTTTTGGGCCTCTCGGGGGCCTTGGTAGCCTCCTTGGGGCCTCTTGGCGCCTCCTCATGTTTTTTCGGGGCCAAGTGATCGAAATGTCTATTCGGGTTCCCCCTCTGGGCCTCCTCTTGGGACCGTCCTGTTGCCCTCCTGGGCCATTTTGGAGGCTTCTGGGGCCGTCTTGGGGCCTTCTTGGGCCGTCTTGAAGCCCTCTCGGGGGCCTCTTGGGTTATCTTGGGTTGATCTTGAAGGCTTCTTGGACCGTTGTGGGTCTCGTGAAAGCCCACGAGGCGAACTAGGGAATGGGACGATTTTTGCTTCTGGAGAGCCTCTTGGGACGCCTCTTGGTGGCTTCTTGTGGCGTCTTGGGGCTTCTGGGGCCGTCTGGAGGCAATGTTGGGCGTCTTGGAGCGATCTTTCGCCGACTCTTAGCCCTCTTGGACCGTCCGGGGGGCCTTTTGGGGCCCTCTTGGCCCGTTTTGGGGCCCCCGGAGGCTCCAAGGGTGCGGCTGGCACTTTTCCCGGGGGAAGGGGTTGGGGAGGGAGAAGCAACTCAAACGCAGTGACCCCAAGGGGTCGGCGGATTTAGGTTTCGGTTGGGCCTCCAGTCTAGGCCTCCCAGATGGGATCGAAGTAGGTGAGGTCGGAGGATCGCGCCGCATCGCCGATACATCGGCGACGCGGCTCGATGCGAAGCCCGACTTCGTCGACGTCGACGCGATGCGGCTCAATGCGGCTTGATGCGGCTCGATTGCCGATGCGATGCGGCTCGATGCGGCTCGATGCGGCTCGACGTCGACGTCGCCGATGCGTCGCCGACGTCGTTGATGCATCGCCAATGCATCGGCGATGCATCGCCGATGCATCGGCGATGCGGCGCGAACCTCCGACCCCATCATCTCGGACTCCATCTAGGAGGCCTTTAGTGGCCGCGGATGCTCTTCGAGAAGGTTCCAGGATTTAGGTCTTGGTTGGGCTTCCAGAGAGCTCATCGCGGCCACGGCTGGATTTCCCCCTCGAGATCCCGGCCAACACGCACCTTGGACAGGTCTGGGCATTTTTGTGAATGACCCCCGCGCCCGATGTTCTGCGGATGAACCAGGCATCTTTCGAAAGGTTTCTGGTCGTTCGTAGGTGCTCGGTGCCCACGCAAGGAGGTGGCTGGGGTCGACTAACTCATGCCTCTTCTGTTCTCCTCCTCCCGCTGGTGTGATGATTGTCGGAGGTCCGCGTGGAGATCTCAGGTCCGCGCTGGAACCCCCTCCCCATCAATTGTGGCTGCCACGTCGCGCTCGGCGCACCATTAAAGGGGTGGGTGGAGGCGGGTCCAGCGCCGATCCACAAACCCCGTGCACACGTTTGACATTGACGTTTATGTCGTTGTTGGGTTTGGTGATTCTCGCACACGGAAGTAGCTCACGCTCGATGCACCAGACACCCGAAGATGCAGGCACCTCTAGAGACCGAAAAGGGTCCCACTTTGGCCGGGTCATGGAAGGGGTACCCCGCGTTCTTGAACATTTTTTGGAAAGCCAGAGGGCTCCTGAGAAGTCCCGCCCCCTTCCGAGCAGGCCTTCTCCCTCTCACTTCCCTCCCTCGCTCGCCGCCGATCTCCCCCCCGGGGCGCGTCACTTCGCGCGCGATCTGTCCAGCGCCCACCGCTTTTCGACCCCAAATCAGAGTGACACATGATTTTTGGTCATAGCTCGAGCAAAGGACCACGCTCAGGTCTCCAGGAATGGAAGAGAGGAGTTCTTGCTTGTAGCAGCATGCGCGCACGGCCAGAGCTCTTAGCTCACAATTGCGCTGGAGATGTCCTCAATCGAAGTACTCCGATGTCTGGGGCGGCCTAAACCTCCGCCCTTCGGAGCCGCCCTGCCCGCTCCCGGGCGCCATCCGCACAAGAGGCGCCCGCCACCGCGGCGCGGCGCCAGCATCTGCGCAGGAAGCGAGAGGCACCCGGCCCGGCCCGCCCAGGCGCGCGTGCGCGCCCGCGAGGACACCGGGCGCCCCCGAGGGCGCGCCACGCTCCAGCAGTGGCGGAGCGACCTGGCTTGCCCATATGCCCACCAAAGAATGTTCCGAGAGCCTTCGTGGTCTGCACGACATGCTCTTAGAGCATTTCTGGCCGATGCTGTCTTGTTCTCACACATGGGGTTCCTTGTCTGGGAGCAGTGCTTTTGCTCTTGGAGCACTTTTGGGTTCTACGAACCCTTCGTGGTAGGCAATAGGAATGCCGGGACGCTCGGCCCCTGCTCAACGCGCGGGCGCGTTGCCTCCGCCCCCAGCCGACCGCTCCTGCCTGCGCGGCGGCGCCCTGGTTGCGGCGCAGTCCGCGGCGCCGCGTGGCTCGCGACGCCGGGGGGAGGAGGAGGAGGAGGAGGAGGAGGAGGAGGAGGAGGAGGAGGAGGAGGAACCGCGCCAACAGCTGCAACGTCACAGCCTCCGCCAGCCTTTCATTCTGCCAGCCCAACAGCTTTTGCCAACGCCGCCTGTTCCGCATCCTTCAACGTCTACCTCGCTCCCTCACCCGCGGCCTAGCACTCGCAAGTCCATTTTCGCACACTGGTGGCCGCCGCTTCAGTCCCCTTCGGTTCTCCTCGTCGTGGTCATGATCGGTCCTTTTCCTCCTTCTTCTCCCTCCCCGTTCTGCTGTCGTTTACCTTCCCGTGCTGCCGTGCTGTTCACAGCCTGTCCCACCAGCCTGTGGTTCCAGGGGCGATCGCCCCTGGATTCACCTGGCTCACTAGATTTAGCAACCGCCACATGGCCGACCAGCCCTTTGGGGGGGTGGATGGTCGCGTCTGGCGGACTCACACACCTTCAGTGCTTCAGCGCCTCAGGAGGAGGAGGAGGAGGAGGAGGAGGAGGAGGAGGAAGGGGAAGACGAGTGTGAACACCCATCCCCTCCTCGGGAGCGAGGTGCTGGGAGGCACGCGTGGACCACGGCCCCAGCACGACGCCAGATGGCCTTTCCCGATGGCCCGCCTCGCTTCCTGCGCAGCAGTACCATGTGGCAGCTCAGCCCGCGGCGCCGCGTGGCACGCGACGCCGGGAGGAGGAGGAGGAGGAGGAGGAGCAGGAGGAGGAGGAGGAGGAGGAAAAGGAGGAGGAGGAGCAGGAGGAGGAGGAGGAGGAAAAGGAGGAGAAGGAGGAGGCGGAGGAGGAGGAAGAGGAGGGAGGAGGACGAGGAGGGGGAGGGGGAGGGAGGAGGAGGAGGAGGAGGCGGAGGAGGAGGAGGAGAAGGAGGAGGAGGAGGAGCAGGAGGAATCTCCCCGACCAGCTTCGGCGGTCTGGGTGGAGCCAGCCTCTGCTCTGAAAGCCTACCCTTCACCCGAAGCCTTTTCCTCCGCACTAGTTAATCCGAGATGCGCTCATCCAGCCCAGTTCGTCCGGACCGTTTCTTTCTTCTGGACGAGTTCACCCGATGACGAGTCCATCCAGAGACGAGATCATCCGCAGACAAGTGCATCCGGACGAGTTCACCCCGACAATTCCGTACGGACGAGTTCATCCGCAAGAACGTTCGAGGGCCCCCCCCTCCCCCCCCATGTAGTGGATTTTGGCGTTTTTTTGACGCCTCTTTCACGCAGGTGGAGCCTCCCCCATAATGAACGTACTGCCGCAAACAGCCGCATTAAGCAGAGGTCCGGAGCCAGGACCCCCCCCCCTCCCCCCCCCATTCCGCCCATTGCCGAAACGCCGAAGTAAGGAACGCTCACTTGCGGTTTCGATCCAGTATGGCAGCGCCTGTTGCGACCAGCCCGCCGAGGGGGCTTCGGCACATACCAGCAGCGCCGCCACCGAGAGGGCGCTCGTGGGCCCGGGCCGCTCGTCGTTTGTGAGAGACCCACGCCAAGAAGCACCTTGCTTGCGTCCAGGGTGCCCTGCGTTTCTTGGGTTCCTCGTTTTTTGTCAATGGAAAGCGCGACGTTCCCACACTAAAGATCGGTGGACGTCCTGGGGTCTCAGGGTTGGGTTTCTTGTGGGAGGTTTCTTGTGGTCGGACCCCTACTGCAACCCCTCCGTGTCGCACCCCGCAGACGTGCAGGTAGGGCGGGCCGGGCGTTTCGCCTGAGGCTTCCTCACCATTTAGGGCATCGGAGCTCGAGATCTGCAGAAGTTGCGCGGATGGATGGCGGGTCCTTCTCTCAAAATGTGGTTCTCGCCGCAGCACCGCGCACGTTCTCTTTAAGAGTCTGGAGGGGTTGTCAGGATGGAGGGCGTGTTTTTGTTTGTCTTGAATGCTGCAGCAGTTTCAACGGAGGGTGGCCGTGTTCAAAATGTGGCTCGCTTCAGCGCCGCGCACCTTCATCTTCAGAGGTTGCAGCAGGGCTTCCAGGATGGAGTGCGGTTTCCTTCCGACATGTGGCTCTCGTAGTAGTGTTTTGCAAACTAGTTCTTTGTTGTTTGGTGATCAGCAAACAACAGTTTGCAGCAGTGAGTCGTAGGGTTGGAGCACCGGTTTCTGGCACGATTTAGGATTGTTTGGACGCAACAATCACGTTGAGTCGCGGTGTTGAAGTCCCAGGAATGGTGTTCTGGCTCGACAACGGATCGTCAGGACGCAACAGTCGCGCTCTCCTCATAGGTGCCTACATGATTTGGTTATCATTGCGGGAAGTGCCGCCCCATTGGAAGACAACCGTCTGAAAGCGTCTGAAGACAACCGTCTGAAAGCCAGCTGGGATTGTCACAATTCCGATAACATAGCGCGTTGAGGTCCCAGGATTTCCTCCGGCCCAATTGAAGATTCTCGGACGGCTGTCTCCCAATAGGGGCACTTCCGCAGTGGAAATACATTCTTTTAGGGACCTGTGCAGAGGGAATTTGGAGGGGGGTATTGCAACCTCGTTGATGCGCCTTGGGCTTACACTGGTCCTCACCCTTCTCCACCTTGCAGGAGTTGGAGGCTGCCTGATTGCACCTGGAACAGAAGAGGAGGTGAGCAGCAGCTCCTCTCTCCATCCCCTTCTTGCGCCGCCCCTGGACTTTCTACGACTCGACCTTGTTCGAGTCTCCTTCCCCTCGAGCAGGGGGTCGACTACATAATTGGTTTGCCCCAGAATGTATATCTTCGTCGACTCTACGAAGATTCATTGAACGTGCCTCAGGTTTACAGAGCATTCGACGTGTTTGTCGTGTATCGGACGGACAAACCAGTTTGGGGGTAAACTGACTCTGTAGTCGATCCCCTACCCGATCCCTTGCACCCCTGGGCCCACCCCGTTCCCCTGTGCTCGCTCTCCCTCCTGCGGCCCCTGGGGCCGACTGAGAATGGCGACAGACCCCTGGCGCGTTCCCTCCGAGTCGCCAGAGGCCCGTGCCGCACGAAGAGGTCGCAAGCGATCCAAAACCAGCATGCAACGATCAGAGACGTTCGAACGCCATCGGTTCTCGACCCTCCAACCACCGCCCTCTCTCGTGACCTTCCAGGAGGGCCAGGCAATTAGCACCAGCACATTTGAATGTACGTTGCCAGTGAGGTTTGTATCTGCCATGATCATATGCAAGTCTGGTGGACGATTCTGTTAGGTTGCACTCTATCAGTTCAGGGCCATCGCCCCTCCTCGCAAGGTTCTCTGACGGCTCGGGCCAGAACGCTCCGGGTGCTTACGACGGGAAGTTCGACGCCGCACCCGACATTGATCATCGCAACAAGCACGTGCAGGATCCGATCGCAGAGCAGGAGGGGGATGATCGAGGATCGAGGTTCGATGATTTAGATTCGAAGATTTTTGTTCTGGCTGCATTTTCTCATTTTGGCCATCCTGGGGCGCCCTCCTTGCTACGGGTGGACTCGCCTCAAAATCAGAGTCAGAGTGCACCCCGGGACAGTTCTGGTGGTCAATTGGGGAGCAGGCATCTTGCATTCCACAGTATCGAGATTGCCTTTCTGCTAAGTCTGTTTATCTCTGGAGTCTGGAGGCCTTCTTCAGATCCGGGGGCCTTCAGCACACTACCCGGGATGAAGAACCGGTCCAGTAGAAGGGCCGAGAGGTCCTTGAGCCAGCGAATATGCGCGGAGGTAACCGCATACCCCAGATAATAAAGATTGAGTGTTGATTATCTCTGGCCAATATAATTTTGGTCGGCAGTGGGGAGCGGCGGGGTCGAATTTCATTATCATCATGGAAGGTACGAATCATATATTGAATCTCCATACCGTCTCATCATTTTCATCATCATCATCAGCATCATCATCGTTACCATTGCCGTTGTCATCAAATACGATGTTTGTTACTACTACAGCAACTACTACTACTACTACTACTACTACTACTACTACTACTACTACTGCTACTACTATCACCACTAATACTATCTGTTAATACTTATACTATTACTGTTGTTACTACTGCTAATACTAATCTAATTCTACTACTACTACTACTACTACTACTTCTTATCCTTCTTCTTCTTCTACTGTTAATACCTCAGATTCTACTTATACTTCGACGACTACTACTACTAGTAGTAGTAGTAGTTGTCGTTGTTGTTGTACAATTACTACTACTACGACCACTACTTTTACGACTACCACTACTACTACTATTACCACTGCTGCTACTACTACTACTACTACTAATACTACGACTACTATGTCTACTACTACTGCTACTACTACTACTACTACTTCTACCACCGATATTTCTATTAACACTACTACCACTGCGACTACTCAGGCTGCTACACAAAACTATTCATACTACTTCCACTACCACTACCACTGCGGACGATTATTATGATTAGTACTACTCGTATTACAGCTACTGCTACTACTACTACGACTACTACCACTACGATTATCACTACTGCAACTATTATTATTACTACTACTACTACTGCGGCTACTACGGCTACTACTGTTACTACTGCTATTACTATTATTGCTATCACTACTACTACTACTACTACTACTTCTACTACTACATCTGCGATTACTACTACTGCTTCCACGTATACTTCAACTTTTACTACGACTGCGACTGCGACTACTACTACTACTACTACTACTAGTCGTAGTCTTACTTCTACTACTACTACTACTTCTACTACTACTACTACTCCTACTACTACTACTACTACTACGACCACTACCACTACTACTACTACTACTACTACTACTACTACTGCTACGACTGCTACTACTACTATTACTACTACTACTACTACTACGACGACTACTACTATTGCTACTACTACTACTACTACTACTACTACTACTACTACTACTACTACTACTACTACGACTACTACTACTACTATTTCTACTTCTTCTGCTGCTACTTCTTCTACTACTACTACTACTACTACTACTACTACTACGACCACTGCCACTACCACTACGGCTTACGAGTGCGACTAGGGCTACATCATCATCATCATCATCGTACTCATTCTCACCAACTATATTGAGTACCACTACTACATGTCCTCGCCCCAGCGGGCGGACTTTTTTATTTCTGGAGTATACTATACGATCGCGCCAGAAAATGCCCGAGATGTACCCCCCCACACGAGGACTTGCAAGCCTCTCCGAATTGATCGGACGAATTTGATAGGTTTCCAATATTGCTGTTTTTCGGAATTCCTCCCCCCATCCTCCCTCTCTCCTCCCTCTTCGATCCTCCCTCCCCTGCAACCACATCAACAATAACAGCAACTACTACTACATTGCTACTACTATCTGCTCGTCCCACCCCTTCCCTTTTCCCTCATCATTATCACCAACAACAACAGGAACGTCCTCATCATCATCCTCAACTTCCTTGATGCTGCGGCCTGCCGGAACAAGTTGATGTTCTTCCCTGGACTTCGAACCTTCTTATCCCCACCCTGTGAATCTCAGGGGTACAGGGTTAGCATGGCCAAGGTTGCGCAAAGACAGCCACCATACGCACAGTAGGCACATCGGCTAAGTAATTGGCCTGCTAGCAGATGCCCCCACGTACATCCCTTATCCCGCAAAGGCCCCAGGCACACACACAGAAGTCTTAGGGCCCCCGAGGAAGGCTCAACATGGGCGGCGACAGCGCTCTTAGACTTGGGCATCTTGGAACCAGAAGTCGTATCGGGTGTGCGTACTTAAGTCTCACCTGGCCTTGGCGTGTCCGCGAGGGCGGTCCTGCCGGAGAGCGTCGGCAGAAGCCAGCGGAAGCAAAATGTGCGCCCCCACGCGATGTCAAATTCCTTTTTTGGTTTCAAGCTTACCAGAGGGCAAGATGGTCCGAGTCAGTATCAGCACCCAACGGAAATTACCCCAGACTGCCTTTTGGGCTTGCTCAGGGCACTACCTCGGGATGTTTTTGTGTGTGAGTGTGTGTGTGTGCTACCCTGACTGAGCGGTGCCAGGAGGTGGAGAAGACATGGAGGCTCACGAGGCGGACGGACAGAAGGAAAAAGAAGAAGAAGAAGAAGAAGAAGGGCGGGACAGTGGAGGGGGAAGGAAGAGGGGAGACGTGCGATGACAAGCTATGTGCGCTCACGCCACACCTGGCATTCTACACCCCGCACCAACCCTTCCAACTGCGTTGGATCCTTCTCTATCTGCCAAGTGGGGTGTCCTAGAACTTCGTGATCCCCCAAAGGCACTTGCAGGATTTGGTCCATCGTTTCTTGTGCAATCGCGAACAGGAGCGCTTACACATTGGGGGAGGAGGAGGAGGAGGAGGAGGAGGAGGAGGAGGAAAAGGCGGATGGAGGTGGATCAGCAGGGTCGGGGGGGGATAGAAGAAGAAGAAGTGGAACAGAGGGAGGGGGACGGCAGCAACACCAATGATTGGGATCCAGATGTGGCCCGCCGGGGCGAGAGCGCAGTTCTGAACGCCGGGAGCACAGCACCGACCTTGACACGTGTCCAAACGCGGCAACGGGACCACCCTTCGGAGGACCGAGAACGACCCGCAGGGTCACGCACACGTGAGATATGTTTCATTGAGCTCAAGTAAGAAAAAACATGGAGAACAAGCGGCGGCAAACCAGCACAGCAACGGCTGAGAGGGACGTAGAACCCACATGGTGCAACACCAGAACAGAAAGAGGATGGAGCGTGGTCCGTCGGGGCTCTTCGGCTGCCTGCCTTCCTGGTGTGGGGTTTGGGCGAGGACGGAGCAGGAGAACCAGGAGGAGGAAGAGGAGACTGGGGGGGACGAGGACGAGAGGCAACGGGGTGTGGGCGAGGCTGGGGAGGGGCTGCGTTTGGGGGCGAGGATGAGGAACCTGTGGGGTGAGTGATGTGGTGGAGAGCGGGGGAGGAGAAGAAAGAGGTGGCGGTGAAGGAGGAGGACGAGGAGGCGGCGGACGTTGCTCGGTTTAGGAGGGGGCGCTCCTCGCCGCTCGCTATTATCTCGGAACCTGCCCCTTGGGGTCAGGAACGCAAGGATCTGGAGAATCGGGAGGTGGAGGCGGATGTTGATAGTGAGGTGGATGAGGGGTGGAGGGGGATGACAATGACGAGGAGACAGACCCTCCCGGAACCAACTCGAATCTCGGGCCCCCTACTCTTCAAACGTGTCATCCAATCTGTCCCCCTCGACGCCCCGAGTACCTAGATCGCATAGCTCGCGGACTGTACCCCAAGGTTTGAGGACTTAATTAACCATCTGAGCCTCGAGTTTTTGCTTGAGTGGTCATCCCGTCGTCCACAGAGAGGAATCCCTGTCATCCCGTCGTCCACAGAGAGGAGTCCCATCCATGACGGCGCGTATCCGTTACCGCTCTGCCGGATTGGCTACAGAGCCTGAACGAACCCTACATGGGACCGGTCGAGGCATTAGCACCGCCATTTTATCAGGTCCCCGTCGAGCCCCGGCCCAAAGCGAGGAACACAACCGAATGGGAATGAAAGGGAGGTCTGATCACAGATCCCCCCCCTCTCCCTCCCCGCCTCGCCTCCTCGCCCCTCTTGTTCCTCGCCACCCCCCCCTCCCTTCCCCCCCTCCACAGGACGGCATCAGCATATGGCTGCGGTGGCTGCGGCTGCAGGAGAGGACGGGGGCAGCAGGGCGCTCTCCTGTTCCTCCTCGTCCTCCTCAGCCTGCTCGTCGTCGTGAAACTCGTCGTCTCTTTACCCTAATCATCGTGTTCCTTCCCCCACCCCTATCCCTCGTCGCCCTCCTCATTCCCCCCTCTTTCCCGCCTCATCCCCCACTTCCTGCCCCGCTCCCGCTCCTTCTCGTCCTCACCATTTACCCAATCGTACTCCGTGGCATTACAGTCCCCCTCACCAGTCATCATCATCTCCTCATGCTCATGATGTTCTGCATCCTGGTCCCTATCCTGATGATATTCCCCTTCTTCTCGTCCTAATCCTCCTGCCCATGCGTACTTCTCCTTCGCCTCCTCTTTCTGGTCCTCCTCATCCTCCTCATGTTCCTCCTCACCTCTTCTCCCCCTCCGCCTCCACGCCCTCCATTCCTCGACAGTGCGGCATCATAACGAGAGGACGTCTGCTGCACCTCAGAACGAGTCGGCTGGGTGGGCCTGATGTTCCGTATTTCCATAAGCAGCGCTGGCGCCAAAGTGTCTGTCTCCCAGGCACCCAAACATTGCATGCCAGGGCCACCACGAAGGTGCGAAGTTCGTCGCGTTTCGCGGTATGGGCGATTTCAGAGCGAGGCGCGAGCCCTTCATCCTGTGGCAGAGGGGGGGGCCGGCGCGGACGCGTGAAGATATCGCGTTTCGCGGAGCGCGAGGCGCGAAGATAGTTACCTTAGGATTGAGGGGGGGCTTCAGTTCCCTGAGTGTGCAGTGGCGGCCCGTGCCAAGAAATACCCTGCTTGCCTCCAGGGTGCCCTGGGTTTCTTGGGTTTCGATGGTTTTGCCATGGAAAGCGTGACGTTCCCACACCAAGCATCGATGGACGTCCTGGGTCTGAGGGTTGGGTTTCGTGTGGAAGGTTTCTTGTGGACTGGCCCCCACTGTATTTGGCCTGCGTCTCTGGGTCTCCAGCCCATGGCTGCACGCGGACGCCACGCGCGTTGGCTTCCCCGCTGGTGGTCATGTACCTGCAGCTTGGAGGGGTCCCCGCCACTGCAGCATAGCTTGTGCGCTGGCGTCGCCTATCGTCGGCGGCGAGCGAGGGGGGGAAGTGAGAAGGAGACGGCCTTCTCGGAAGGCGGCGGGACTTCTCAGAAGCCCTCACGCTTCTGATAAGTTTTCGGCGTCTTCGGGGAAGGCTTAGAAAACTTCCCAGAAGGCCGGGGAACTTCCGAGCCTTCTGAGAAGGCCTTCTCCTTCTCCCTTCTCTCTCGCTCGCCGCCGATCTCGGGCACGTCAGAGGTGTACCCCAGGGGAGCTTGGCGGCACCAGCTGCCACGATTGCAGTTCGCACGCCGTGGCAGCCCTGGTGCGCGAGTGGATGTTATACGGCGGATTTCGGACACCCTGAACCCAAAAACGTTTTCACCTCTTGGAGGGCGATTTTTACTTCCGCCCCCTTCCGCTAGCCTTCAGTCGGCGGAGGCGGCCTCGTTTTACTTCTGCCAACCTTCCGCCAGCCTTCTGCCGCCTTCCGCGGCGGAAGAGATGACAACTCCTTCGATCCTCGAAGGCAAGGCCCTTTTTGGAATGCCCCATCTGTTGCCGCGCCGTCTGGCACGTGGCCTTCTGTCTTGGGGAGGGCGCCTCGGGCACAGTGGGCAAGCGCGGCCTCGTGCGCGGGGTGGATTTTTTTCGTGGGCTTGCCGCGGTACCGGCGTCGTCTGCTTCGGGCGCGCGGCGCAGAGCTTGCCGTGGGGTTTTGCCGTGGTGTCGGCGTCGTCCAGTGGGGCGCGTTGAAATCGGGGGCGGCAAAGAGGGGGGGGATGACCAGGGGGGGGGGATATCATGGCATGGGCCATGATATTTCCCCAGATTTCATGGCGCCTCTTCTCATTTCATTACGTTCCTGCCCCCCCCTGGGGCCGCGCACATGCCGCCGGCAATGATTTGCAGCCCCCCCTCTTGAACGCCTTCCTCTTGGCCGCCCCCGCGACAACACACGGCGCGGCGACATCTGGACGACAGATCTCTGGTGGCTCAGTCTCCTGAGGCTCTTCAAGACGATCCAGATACGACGGTACAGTTCGGCAGTGGTGCGCGCTTCTCCAGGAGTGCGAGCAGGAGGCAGAGGGGTGGTCAGATTCCGAACCGGATCCGAAAGTTATCGACACATTGTTCCTCGACACCTCCACATTGTTCCTCGACAGCGGTGGGACAAAGTGGCAGCGGCGATCGGCATCTCGGCGAAGATTCCAGGCAGGAATCTGTTCAGGATAAGAATGGCATGTTCATGCATCAGGCCTCCGTGGCCCTGGGCGAGTGCAGTGGTGATGCCTCTCCCAACGAAGTTCGCCAAACTACTGGCCACAACGGTGTGGCGCACATCAGCGACATAGTGGGGTCTTGGACGGTGGTGTTGCCGGCACAGTGCATACGGCTTCGCCCAGTGTGCCCAGCAGCACCGATGGCCTTCAAGAATGCTACCGCTTTTGTGATCTCCGTTCTTGGAGACATCGCTCCTCGCTCATGATCAGGCGCTTGGACTTTGTTTCGTTGATTTTCTGGGAACCGTGGTGCACTACTGGAGGCTGGCCCAGGGGACAATCACCGAGTACATAACGAAGTGGAGAAGCTGGCGGATGACCATGAACGTTTCTGGACGACGTCGGCCCCCAAGCATGCTCAGCATGTGCTTCGGGTCATCTCATGTGTACGATGTCTCATGTGGTTCGGTCTCGCTGGAGCGCCGAGGAAGTTCATGATGTGGACGTTAGATCACGTTCAAACAGCATGTCCGCGAACTTGTGCAGTAATACCACGAGAAGCTCAATCTTAGCATCATCAGGAGATGTGCTTTTGCACTTAAGAGGCGCAGAGACAGACTGTTAAGGATTGCCCATGGTGTGGCGGCCGGTTATGTTACATGCTGCCACAAAGTAGTCACAGTATGACCAGTTGCGGAGGCAGGCCAACGATTTTCATTCACTACCAGCTGTTGTTTGGAATTTTCTTCCGAGAGTATCGCCGACGTCAGGCTGGATCACGGGCTCGATGTCTGAGCGTCCAGTGGAAAAGGGCTCTTGTGTTCTTGGATGTTTACAAGATGGGCGTGGGCATCGAGAAGATGGGCCCCGCGAGTATGCGGCACGACCTCGGGCCTATCCGTCCGAGGGCCCCTGGTGCGGCCAGGTAGTGGCCTACGCGTGCATCTACACCGTCGTTGGGTTGTTGTGCGACGTCATGCTCTCCCCCCCCCCGTCTCTGGATGTGATCGCCGGTCCCAGAACTTTTTATTTCGGCAGAGATCCCTCCTCCCTCCTTCCCCTCCCCCCCTTCTCCCAGTCTTTCTTTCATTGGTCGCCGGGCCGAGCCTCAGGCGGCCAAAACACGATTCGGACCAGGAGGAAGGGGAATGACATGGGAGGACCCAGGTCTGCGTCACCTCCGGTTTTTCAGAGCGCAGCGGACTGCGCAATAGATTAGGCGTGGGCGGAGCGTGCGCTTGGATCTGGTTAATACATTTCGACTCATCCCGCCGGGGTTGTCCGTTTCCCTCTCCGTACTTGTTGTATGTATGATGGGCGATCGCTCATCCTAAATTTCAAATGCCTCCTTACCTATTGTGCTAGCCAGTCCCGGTATCGACCAACGCCTTCATCTTTGTCGAATGACAGCATGCGGGGCGCATGCGCTAATGTAGGACATGCTTCTATAAGAACCAATCGCGCATCATATGTGCACATGCGCAGACACATACATGCTCAGGGTGGGTCCTTCTGATGCTTGTCATCTGACAGTTAAGACAAACTCGGCCGCTGCTGGTGCTGCTGCTGGGGCTGGTGCTGGTGTTGGCTAAGGCTGGAGAAGGAGCAAGAGGAGGGGGAAGAGCAGGACGGGGAGAGGGAGAGGGAGAGAGAGAGAGAGAGGAGGAGGAGGAGGAGGAGGAGGAGGAGGAGGAGGAGGAGGAGGAGGAGGAGGAGGAGGAGGAGGGCAGGCAACAGCAGCAGCAGCAACACCAGCGGCAGCAGTGGGAGGAGGGGCTAGAGGAAGAAGGAAGGGGGTGCGGCCAGCACCAGCAGTAGCAGCACCAGCCGCAGCAGGAGGAGAACGGAGAAGGGCGGACGGGGGAAGCGGCCAGCAGAGTGGAGACAGGGAGAAGGGTAGGCGGCCAGCACCACCAGCAGTAGCAGCACCAGCAGCAGCAGAACCGGCAGCAGCGGGCGACTTGTCCACACAACGTTCCAGCGCTCTGGTGCCGCGCCCGCGGCGCCCAGACGGCACCCTTGCGCGGGAGGGCTTCTACAGTCAACCCGCTTGGTAAGGATGGGCAACCTTCCCAAGGGTACCCTTGCAGCCTCGCCTCCTCGGCCCATGCTCGGCCGCTTCCGTGCGCCGCGCCCCGCTCGGAAAGCTCCGTAACGGCCTTCCAAGGCCCTTGCATTTTTATCGCGCATCCTCAGTGATACGGGTGGACTGTGCATGCCGCTATCGGGCGGCGCGCGTCGCTGCCGAAGCGAGGGGCGGGCGCAGGTCGGCTTCGACGCCTGGCGGTTCGACTTCGTCAAGGGACCCCCCGCGCGACCCCCCGCACGATCCCCCGCCGCGGGCAGGGGGGCCGCCTGCACTGGCGCGGGGGGCAGGCGGTGCCGCGCGCGGGAGCTTGTAGTGGGGGCCCATGCCAGGAAACACCCTGCTTGCTTCCAGGGTGCCCTGGGTTTCTTGGGTTTCGATGGTTTTGCCATGGAAAGCGTGACGCTCCCACATCAAAATTCGATGGACGTCCTGGGGTCTCAGGGTTGGGTTTCTTGTGGAAGGTTTCTTGTGGTCGGGCCCCAATTGTACAGTCAGCAGCCCAGTCTTTGGATCAAGAGTCGAGGACCCCGGACCAGTCAGTGCTCATGTCGACTCCTTCGGCTCGATCCAATTCGATCTCGATCGATTCGACCTCGGGTTCCGATTGACCTTTCGGGTTTTCGATTGAGGCCATACTAGCCTGTCGATTTTTGCCGATTCGACTCCTGACTGGGCTGCCGATTTCCGCCGCTCCGATTCATCTTGATCGCCAATCTGGCTTATCGATTCGATGTTGGGCTCTCCTGCTAAGCTGCCATCGGACTGATTTTTGCAATCGTCGTGTTGTTCCTCAACTTTGGCCTCTGGGGGTCGTTTTCGGGCTACGGGGCAATCCGCAGCGGGTCTGGGACGAGGAACTGCCTCCCCTGAAGAGGTCGCGGATCGAAGAAAGCACATCGCCGGATGTTTGGGGCCAAGGCTTCTGGACGTTGGGCGTCTATGAACCTCCCCTGAGGTCCTGGCGTCTCATTTTCGAGCCGGGGGTTTTCGCTTTTGGTTCGGGTACCGGGACCCTCACATATCGATCCGGCTTGAAAATTGATGAGAAAGATTGGGTCTAGGGCTCCAGGCGTATTTTGTTACGATGTTGCAACTGTGTTCGCTACGTCGTATCTCAGGGTCCGGAGGCTTCCGGAGGCCTCTGGGGGGGATTCCGCGAGCACCTCGGGAATGGGGCGCGGCGCTTGTTGAGGCCTCCAGAGGCCCTCCTCTTCCTCCAGAGTCAGGCCCCGCCGCTTCGCCCAGGCTGCCCTCGCACAGGCAGCCAGCAGAGCCCATGGGCACAGGCCTCGGACGTCGACGGACGCTGCAGTCAGCCACAAGAGCGATGGCGCAGCACGATCAAGACGCTTCGGTCGGGTTGGCCCAACAGGGCTTCCAGCGACAACGGTGTGGTGCAATAGATTAGGTGCCATAGATTTGCGGGGTTGCAATACATTTGGGGCGTGCAATACATTCCTGGGCGCAAATGTATTGCTGGATTTTCGCGTGCAATGCATTACTTCCAATACATTTTTCCGGCGCAGCAATACATTTGCAATACAATTGCCCCAAATCTGGTGCACCACCCCCTTGCAGCTGGACCCCCTTCTGTGTCACCCAAATTCGGGCAAGGCTCGGGGGCCCCTGGGATGCTCACGGCCGTGGGCTGGGCCTCCGCGTGCAAGTGGGGCCCCGCACTCCCCGGGGCGGGCGCCACCCGGCGCCGTTGGTGGAGCCGCCCCCGGCGCGCGTCGTGCGCCCGTGAGGGTGTGGAGCGGAGGTTCTGGCGCGGGGTGGGGGAGACCGCCCCCGACCGCTCCCTAAGGGCTTGGCGACTTTTCGTCAATCGACTTGCGGGATCAAGCCTGAGAAGTCAAGGCGAACGCAGATCGATCGAAGCAGATGGAGGTAAATCGGAGCAAATCCAGGTAAATCCGGAGTTCTCCGAGGAAATTGGGAGCAAATCGCGGCCGCTCCAGCGCGAGTTGGCGAGTTGAGGGATGGCAGAAGTCGTTCAGCCTTTAACGAACCGCCCGAGGTGTATGGTCATATGTCGTCGCGCCGTTCGTTCCGACGCGCGGCCTTGTGTCTTGGGGAGGGCGCCGCGGCCACCAGGGCAAGCGCCGCCTCGGGCGCGGTGGGCTCGCCGTGGGGTTTGCCGCGGTGCAGGCCTCGTCCTCTACCTGGGGCGCGGGACGCAGGGACTGCCGTTCGCCGTGGTGTCGGTGTCGTCCACGTGTGCGCGTCCAGAGCAAACGGCGCGGCGACATATGTGTTTTTTGTTCAGCCACCTGCATGGTCTGAGGCGCCCTGCTGCCTTTCCCCTTCCTCCGCCACCGCCTCTTGTTCGCTCTGTCCTTCCTTCGCAGTGCAACCGCTCTTGCTTCACAGTAGCCCTACGCCTGCCCGCACGAGCGCCAGGCCCGCGACAAAAGAGATGTTTTCTCCTCCTCCATGCTAAGAAGATCCTGCTGAGTACTTCGTCAAGGCGGGCTCTGCAGCCTTGCGTGTGTGGCTTCTCCTCGGCCAGCTCCCCACACCGGCTCTCGTACCCGGGGGGTCCGAGGGTCGTGCAGCACGGCATTGCGCCCTCATCCAGTTGCGTGCGGCGAATCCCTCCACCGTGCCAGCGCATTAGGGCAGCAGGAAGGAGGTCGAGTTTCAGTATAGCTCTTGTTCAGTGTGCCCTGTTTGGACCGGCGCGGGTCTCGAACGACCCGTCCCTGTCCTCAGTTCCCTTTCTCTTCTTTCACTTGCCGTCCACATGTTTGCTCATTTTACAGTGGGGGCCCATGCCAAGAATTATCCTGCTTGCCTCCAGGGTGCCCTGGGTTTCTTGGGTTTCAGTGGTTTTGCGATGGAAAGCGTGACGCTCCCACACGAATCATCCATGCACGTCCTGGGGTCTCAGGGTTGGTGTTCTTGTGGAAGGTTTCTTCTGGTCGGGCTCGTAATTTCTGTCACATTAAGTCGGGCCTGTCCCTCTACAGGAAGAATATTCAAACATAGTTCAAACATAGTCTGGGGACTATTCTCTTAGCTACGTTTGACAAGTTTGGAATATGTTTTAACTGTTTTTATTTATCGACCAAAATCCGCTTGTCAGAGGACATACCCGACCTAACTGCAACAGCATCTGGAAGGCTTTTTTGCGACTCCCGTGGCCCTTCTGAGGGCGTCTTGGGGGCCCGTCAGGGGGTCTCGAGTCCATCTTGGGCGCGTCGGTTCCACAGAGCTTCCTCGAAGCGGCTCTGAGCCATCTCGGGGCAGCCTGGGCAAGCATTAAGTCGGGCATCTCCCTCTACAGGAGAAATATTCGAGAATATTAGAAAATAGTCGGGAACGTTTTTTTGCATATTTTTCGATCTCTTTCTGATTATGTATAAGTTTTCGTCCAAAACCTGCCGGTGAGAGGACACGCTCGACCTATGGCAAGCAACAGGGGCCGCCTTGGAGCCCCCCTACAACCCAGCTCAGCGTTAAGAAAGCTGCACGCTAAGATAATCGACTCAAATCCAAGCGTTTCCTCAAAGAGTAGTCCAGGTTCAGATATACGAACAGCCCACGAAGAGCAGAAGCTCGAAGAAAAAGCTCAGGGTTCAGTCCAGATTCTTGATTTTCGTGAGCGAGCGTTGCAGTCCGCGGGAATTTACGTATGTTCTCAGCATTTCTTGTGGGTGTCGTCTCGTTGAGGTCTCCTCGTGCAGTCTTCAGCCGCTCGCGGGGCCGTCTTGGGGTGCTTCTGGGCGCTCTCTGAAACCTCCCCGAGGCAATCTGACGCCGCAAAGAGCATGGGAAGCAAGAGAAACAACATGGATCTCCTGTGGGCGTCTCGCCTAGGAGGGCCTCGCTGTAAGCCTCGTCGGGCGTCTCCTGGGGGCCTCTCTGGGGCGTGTCGGAGCATATTGGCGAGGCCGGGTGGCCTTCGGGGGCTCGTCGGGGTGCCTTTGGGTGATCTGTCGGGGCGTCTTGCAGTCGTGCCAGGGCTCTGCCGCTTGCTGTCCTGGATGCGCCTGGAGGCCAAAACGAGGCCGCCCTGGGCTTAGAGAAGCAGTGATTTGATCTCCGCTGTTCGCAGTGCTTCTGCCTTTCCACTTCACCACCCACTAAACCACCCCAACCCAACCCGAAGCAATTTGTCCTCTAATCCCAGTGGGGGGGGCACCGGGGAACACTGAAAAAACAGATCTGGAAGGGGCACCCCTCCCACGACCCGGATGTCGGGGATTCGGGTTGGCAGTCAGCTGAATGGACTCGCGGGCGGCCGCCTCTCGGGCGTCTCCCGGAGGCCGCCCTTCTAGGCAATCCTGGGGCATCATCTTGGGAGGAGCCCCTTTGGATAGTAACGTGATGCGTTTCAGAAAGGGCCTCGCCTTCGAGCATCGACGGAGTTTGCATCTCTCCCTCGGCGGAAGGCGGCGGGAGTAGAACGAGGCCGCCTCCACTGGCGGAAGCTGGCGGAAGGCCAGCGGAAGTGAAAGTCGCCCCCCCCCCTCCCAAAAAGAAGAAGAAGAAGAAGAAGAAGAAGAAGAAGAGATGGCAGAGTTTGTTGGTTCAGGGTCTGCGTGGCGTCTTACACACGTCTTCCGCTGTCTTTGGTTTTCTTCAAGCCGCATGGATGCCGAACACTGCCCTGTTGGGGGCCGTCCAGGGGCACTTGGGGCCGTAATGGACCGTCTCGGGAGCCTTTGGGTGCCCTCTGTGGCCCACCCGAGGCAATCCGAAGCCGAACAGCTTCGGAGGCGACGCAACCGAGAGGCTTACGCCATTCCGTCGACCCCCCCGGGGGAGGACATGTGTGGCTGCTGCTTTCGTATGTGTTTTTCGCCGCTTCGTGCCGTGTTGCCTGCGTGGAGTTGTTGCTGAATCGCCGTCTTCATCCGCGTAATGATTGGAGACTTCTGGTGGCCTCTTGGAGACCCTGGGGACTGCCTCGCGTGAGCTGTTCCAGGACTTTTGGGGGGCCATGCTGGGGGTCTTTGGAGCCATCTTGTGGGGGAGGACTCCCGAGGCACCTGCGAGCTCCGCCTCTTTTTGGCCTCTCTCGGGGCCTCGTGGGTGTCCTTCGTGGTCGTCTTGGGGGCCTCCTTGGCAGTCCGTGGCCGTCTTGGGGAACCCCCGAAAAGGCGAGGGCACGAGCATCATTCAAAAACATGTCGGGAATGAATTGTCTTTGCTCCTGGAAGCTCTTTCGGGGTTTATTGGGCCGTCCTCTTGAAGTCATACTAGATG